AAAAATCTTCTCTTTCACTAACATAAAAATTTTATGTAAGTACCTACATGTAAGTTATTTTACCTTGTTTCCTTTATTAAAAAAACTTTTATTCTTATTCATTTTGTAATTCTGTAGGCTGTAATAATAAATGTATTCTATTTCTTGATTCAATTTTAACGAGAATTGAGCTAATTTTTATTGAGTGAATGCAAAAAAATTAATAATTTTCCCACTGGTCCATCTCACCCGGATTTACCGTACAAAACAAATACTTTTTGCTCCAAAATCCGAATCAAAATTCCGACTTTTTCCTCATTTTTATAATTGAATAACGCAATCGATGCAAAGAAACTCATTACCGGAGTCAACTTTTTACTAGTTTTGCAATTACGTGACGTTTTGCTCCTTCACTTTCGAATTTTAAATGGAACATCCTGTATAAAACGGTCGTGTAAGCATCTCTTTTGTATTGTTTAGCTTAAACGGTTTGAGAAATTTCTTCAACAATTGACGTTTTCCCCGAAATGACACAAAAGTGAATAGATATCAATTTCGCACAACGAAAAAAAAATTAAAATAAAATCGTGCAATTAGTGATCACGTGTAGCGTGAAAACAAGAGGGCGGTTTGAAATTTATACGCCAGTTTTACGCAACAAGTCCCGAATTGGGCACTTCCTAAAACGAAGGGAAAAACGTCAGCTGGACATCGGAACATTTAAATGAGCGGAAATCGATCATTACCTAACGAATAGTTCACCTTCCTGAAAAAAACACGAACAGCTACGATTAAAACAAAATAATTAAGTCGAATTTAAGCGCACGAAACACGAACAGTTCCCACAACTTTTTTTATATTATTTTTTCAAAGAAATATTAATTTCATTGTTGCTCCGTGATGCTTTCTTTCTTTCACCGAAACTTTACGAATTTCAAGGGTTGATATACTTTCACACGCCTGTGCGTTTCGCAGAAGGTGATAATAAGCCGAAGATGATTATTGTTATTCGAGTGAAGATTATTATGGACTTGGTTATTGAATGTTTTCTTATGCGGCTATTCGACACGGAACTGGCTGCGGGTTCATTCGTAAAACCTTAATAAATTTTATTCATCGCTCTCTCATTGTCATTCCCATTACTACCATTTTCTTACAAATAAAAATACCAAATTTCACGCCATTGAGTCGCCTTTCAATGATTGGAACATTTTCCAAATCAGAAAATTTTACATCACAAGTGTAAAAAACTTAAAACCAGGTCAAAAACAAAAAATGGAGAATTGGATTTGAACTATCTATACAGAATGTAACGAAAAAATGGGACAAAGGGTAACCTGAGATGCCTCAAGTTAAAATAAAGCGATTTAACCCAACTTACCTCCATAGCAAGTTGCACAGTTTATTTTTAACTAACAACAACCCAAAAAAAAAAAAAAAACGAAAACCTAAAAATTTTTTTAAACAATTTTGAAAAGAATAATAAATGGTCACGTTCGAAATTTTGACACGGCTACTTAAATAATTTTTTTATTCTAAAACCAAGACACAAAACTTTTATAAGGTACAAGAATTGTTTCAAAATAATGTACCTTTCGAATAAAAAATAATTATTCCACTCGGTCTCCAATATGGCTTAAAATATTGTTGTTAATAAATAAGTGCTTTGCAATAACAACAAAACAAAGGAAATAACACCAAAACATGTTATTTTGATACCAAATTGTCTGTACCAAGTTTCATAAAAATCGATTGCCCATTAAAAAGCTATTAAAGAAAATCAAAAATATTTTAAACTTTGGGGCACTCTAACTTTTAAACGGTACAACTTGGTAAGTTAAATCCGTTTATTTTAACCTGGAAAATCTCAGGTTACTCTTTGTCCCCATTTTTTTGTTACACTCTGTATAAAAAATACAAAAAATAATCAAAAATGCATTTCCATTTAAACTGTGTATTGTAAAACGTTTCAAAAGGTTTGTTTGTTGCGTTTTATCAAAGACAAACATAACACATTATCTCAACCTCAAAATGGTACATATTTCTGATACACGCTGTATAATGAGTTTATAATAATAATTTTTGTACTCGCTCAAAAATACAGTGCGATCAAAAAGTATTTCTATCAAGTGGGCGTACTAGTTAAGGACGTATGTCGCTTGGAAGTTTGTAAAATTATTTTATAAAAATTAAAATATTGATCTAAACAAATTGAATTATTGTATGAAACGTCTTAAAACACCCTAAACTGAGATGTAGTTGGAGTTTATTCATACAAATCGTTCACCACGATTTGTTGTTACAGTTTTCAAAAAAATCTTCCGCAGACACATGTTTTAAATTTCTATGCTTGCTTAATAGATAAACTGTATTTATGTAGGTCGGAAAAATAGGAATTAAAATGGAAACAAAAGAAAAAACTGTAGAAATAGTAATTACACTTAAAAATTTTCGTTCTTGTGAAGTTCGGTATAGGCAACCAAATATACAGCTACGAGCATATCGTGTTGCGGCCACTATATTAAATTGAAGATGTCGAATTTTAAAATAAATTAAAGCCCAAACATGACACAAATTTGCTAAATGTATAATGTTATAAGAGCAATAACTTTTGTTCTTATGTAAAAACGTGACAATTTTTTTTATATTTTCTGTATTAAGAAGTTTTTTTTCCTAATATTTACTTCATATTTATAAATACGCCTATAAAAACCTAATAGTCATTTCCTTATTAATAAATAATTTTTAATTATTAATAACTTACACACACCGCAATTTCTTAATTAATATTTATAAAAAAAAACATTTCACCACCAAAAATCATAGCAAAAAGCTTAATAATTTAGAAGAAAAACAAAATCAGAATCCTTAGGACTGGGGAAGTTTTTTTGTTCTAAAAATTGTAATAAAAACAATTAATGGAATACGAAAAAAAGCATAACCACATCAAATAATACCTTTATCAAAAGCATTGTTACATTTTTTAAATGATTATTTTTAATTTCAATTTGCGAATCGTCATTCATTATGCAATCATATATACACATAAGTAGATGTTATGCAACCAAATATACACTCTAACAAAATAAAAACGCCAATTCTTCTCTAAAAATAAATAAAATACTTACGTTTCGAATTTGCTTTGAAGCAATTCTTGAATTTTAGGTAAAATCAGCACACACAAATCCAAATTCCACAAAGTACTAAAACAATAAAAATTAACTTTAAATCAAAATGTCATCCACCAACTTACTATTTACAATTAAAAACTCCTAACAAATCGACCAAAACGGCCAAATCACCCATCACAACTGCAGTCTCAGTCGCTGTCTTAATATCCTTACTTCTAAATTGGGCCAAAACCACTTTCAAACTCCTCTGACGAGTTACCAACATTGCCATCATCGGCTCATGACCTCTCATTAAAGCTCCTAAAACCTCCGCTTCGGACATGTCGGGTAGTTGTTGCTCAAAACCAAGCGTTCGATGATTTTTCTAAAAAAAAATATAATTACAAAACAAACAAACAAGCAAAAAAAATAAACAAACCGGAAGAAAATCGTCCAAGTCCAACCCTGCAGGCCTATCCATCGACATCGGTACAAACTCCACCTCCTCGGCCGGACTATCTGGTGAAAGTTTCGAACCAACAAACGCAACATCTTCAGGAGTCGGTGTGATGTAGGCTTTAACCGGTGCCACTTTTTCACTAAGTCTGGCGCTAGGGATTTTTGATACATTGGGTACACTAGAATTGCGAGAAGACCTCGAAAAAGAATTCTTCCTCGAGGAGGAATTCCTACTACTCTTGCTGATGTTAGCATCGGAGATACTATGTTTAATAATACTGTTCGATTTTGGGGCATTTTCAGGCACATCCTTGCAACTACTCTGTCGCTGAAGATAAAATCGCGGAGTGGTCAATTTATTTTTATTGATATTCGAGATGTTATTTTCGCGGTCTTGTTGCTTCGTCAGCCTGCTGACATACACTTGATCCAAATTCGACTTCGAACGGGAATACTGTGAAGATGTGAACGCAGGTGGTGGTGAATAACAATTGATGTTGTTGTCCAATGAGAGAGCCTCAAAGTTGTCGGTTGGAATTTCGGCCAGGATTTGGGGTTCTGTCGGGTCTAAAAACAAAATCAAATATTTTTCAAATTTCAAAAAAACTCACCCGAATAGTCATGTTCAGGTCTTTGGAACGGCTCAGGTTGTTCGAGAGGGGGCGGAGTCCGTGTCACTGCAAAAAAAACAATTACTCTAACAAAAATTTACTAAAAATCTCACCTTTCACGTGAAAATACAAGTGAAAAAGGTTTATAAGTAAGCCGTTGCAAAATTGATTCGACACGAATAAATACAAAAAGAAATATTAAACGCACGAGTGGTGATTTCAAATAAAAGACTTTTGTCAAAATTTCAGTAATTCGCCCGCAAAAACAGGAAACGAAATTCTTAATTTTATTTTCATTACTTAATTTTAAATGACAAAATATTAGATATCGTTAATAAAACAAAATATTATTACTACTACGTTTGTTATAGTATATTACAACCCAGGTGGGAAATATGACATGTTTTTCTGATACTAAAGTAGTGCTACACATGTTTTATGTAATTCTACATAAATTACTTCCCAACCAAGGAGTGCAATGACATACAGGGTGTCCCAGCGAGTTGAAGAAGTCCATTAGTGACCTTTAAATAGTGAAATTAAAAAAAATTGTATAGGACATTGATAGAAACTAATCTAGTACATCACCTAAAATTATTTTCAACCATACAGTATGTCCCAAAAATAAGTTACGATACAAACTTGTGTTTTTTTAAATGAAACACTATATGTTCCTTAGCGTTTTTGGATGTAGATGTTTATGAGAATGTTTTTAAGCTAAACTTTTATTGGTCGAGTTTGCTTAGTTTTAAAAATAAGACGGTTTTTTTGAAAAAAAAACATGCACTACATGTCCTATACAATTTTTTTTTAAACTTTACCATTTAAAGCTCACTATGGACTTGTTTCAACTCGTTGGGACACCCTATATAAAAGAAATTTTGCCAAGGAATGTGTGATTTAATTTAATTTTTTAATTTGATGTTAACATGAATTTATTATTTCTATCGACGGATATAACCTTTTAAAACAATGTTTTACGCTAAACTTTTATTAGTCGATTTTAAAAATGACTTTTTTTTTGACGAAAACATGCACTTTTTGAAAATTCATTACACAAAAACTAAAACAGTTAGAAGAATTTTTTTCTTACTTCTGCAAAGAAGAAAGTGCAGAATTTAAAGCTGTAGCAATTTTTTAGTGTTTTCCATTTGTAAAGATTAATAAATTAAGAAGTTTGTTAAAAGTTAAATAACTTAAAAATTTTTGATAAAACACCCTATTTTTTTATTTTTGCATCTAATAGATTGATAAATAGTCTATCTAAAAAAATAAACTTTTAATGTCTAGAATTGATAAATGAAAAGATATTTAAGATTTAATATTAATTGTAGCAACAATGTCTATCGTTGATTTATCCAGAGATTGTAAAAGTCGTTATAAATACTGAAATTCGAATTATTTTATTATAAAAATAAAGAATAATGAATTCAGTTTAACATAAATATAATTATTAAGTGATATTTCTTCCACCTCTTGTGCAACTGTACACTTTTTGGCTACTGAAACAATAGTATTTTTTTTTATTTTAAATATCTTTAAGTTAAATATCTTTAAATATCTTTTTAGTTATTGATTATAAACACCTAAAAGTAAATAATTTTGGAAATGCAACTTAATAATCTTTTATATGCAAAAACAATAAATAGGGCGTTCCATTTTTTTTTTATTATTGAACTTTTAACAAACGCCTCCATTTTTTTATCTTTGCAAATACAACACACTAACAAATTTTTACAACCTTATAGCTTGTACCTTCTTCTTGGCGGTAGTAAAAAAAAAATTCTAGATGTCTTAGTTTTTGTGTAATAAATTTTTAAAAAGTGCATGTTATAGTTAAGTTGTTAAGTTATAAAAGTTTAGCTTAAAAACATCGTCATAAAAATCTACATCCAAAAATGCTAAGAAACATATGGTGTTTCATTTAAAAAAACACAAGTTTGTATTGTAACTTATTTTTGAGACACGCTGTTGAATTATTTTAGGCTATGGACTAGATTAGTATCTATCAGCGTCCTATATAATTTTTTTTAAATTTTACCAATTAAAGGGCACTAATGGACTTTTTCAACTCGATGGGACATCCTGTATATCTCAAACTCAAAAAGATTAGAAATCGGCATATTACTATAGTGATTGCGAATAAAAAAAATTAACTCTACAAAAATATTAGACTTTGATAATGAAATAAAGTATTACTACTACGTTTCATATAGTATATTACAACCCAGCTGAGAAATTGTCATTTGTAAACTTTTGTTAAAATTTCAGTTTCAGGAAATCGCCCACAAAGACCGAAATTGCAGCCATCATCAAATAAATACAAAACGCTCCTTTCAGATCCTCCGAAGTCAAAGGAACGACTTCTTCGTTGTTCCTCAAACCGATATGTGAAGAAATATGAGGATGATGTACTTCACTTATCATTTTATACAAAACACCGTTTTCCCTCCATCTTTCAATATCCAAATTCAAGCTTTTCAAAAGTGGATGTCGTTTCCTCAAGACAAAAACACTCTTTCTTGGTTTCAAATAAATCAGTGATTTGATAATAGTCAACGAACTTTTGACTTGTTTCTCAATAATGTGCCACATTGTTTCATCAATTCCCACACTAATGTTTCTATGTTTAATTAAGATTTTGAATAAATCGTCGAGAAGTAGTTTCGGTGGTGCTTCTCGTAATTTACCACAAATTTTTATCCTTAAAACATCCGAATCGTTCACTTGTTTCAAACTTTCAATTGTTGTTCTTTTGGCATAAAGAGTCAAATTTGTGTCAAGCAATTGTTCAACAGTGTCAATACTGTCGTCAAAAACCGGCTCAGAAAGAATTGAACTTAATTTCGCCTTGTAAACAACACCAAAAATCAATGAAAACGCCCAGTTATTTTCGTTGAGTGTGATTTCCAAAATATTTGCGATGTCTTTTCGAAAAGCGTCCCCAAAAACCTAAATATTCGCCCCCAGTTTTGTTCACTGAAGTAACAAACAACAAAACACGCGAGAATTAAAACTGCTGTTGCGATTTTTAGTTTAGTATCGATGACATTGAAGACGACTTGTAACGATTTTTGGCTTTTTCTCGGAATTAGCCAAAAAATATCAGAGTTGTAAAAAATATTAGAAGTGTCCATTTCGGTCAAGAACTTCGCGCTTCTGAGCAAAAATATCGATTTTTCTCCGATTCAACAATTTTCCAAATAATTCAATTGTGCCGTTTTGGAGATATTTCGTCGTTTGCGTTTTAGACGCCATTTGATACGAGATTGAAAGATTCTTCACTTGGGCTAAAATTTCCAAAATTTCGACATAAAGTCCCGAATTGATGCTTTCAACAAATGGAAACGCATTGGATTTGTGCAAAATGAGAGCTTTGAGACGACAATTGGTGAAAATATCAGTTTCTTCCTTCTCAAATCGGGCACCGCAGGTGCCCAAATGCCTCAATCGTGAGTTTAACGACAAAAATGCCCACTCCATTGATAAATTTGCAAATTTTCAAACCGATCATGAGTCAAAATCGCAAAAGTGTGAATATCGTGAATGAGAAAAATCTCCGAAATTTCACTCAAATTGGCTCCTTTTTCAGCAACTACTAAATATTTCTGTCTTGATCCATTCCAGAAATCGTTATTTTTCAAATAATTGAAATGTTTCATGACCCCTTCTTGGGCTTTGACGAAAAAAACGACATTAGTCAAAGGACCATTTAAGACCATTTTAAAATTAGTATTTTTCACAAAAAAAATTTGCTTAAAATCATCGAAAAATAAACGATACCACCACCACCATCAAAATATTGTTCTACCACTTGATTTATACAATTATGTTCGTGTTTTTGTGGCAACAATTTACTTCTGGTGTTGGCACAAGACACCATCGTCAAATTTAAAACCACAAAAAGTCGTCCAATCATCATTTCTTTGTTCTACTGCAATGCGGCGGTGCTCTTGTTTATATGGTGAGAGAACAAGCTAACAATTTAAAAAAAAAAAAATAAAACGGTTTTTTTTGTCGTTAAAAGTGTCTGATTGGATTTTAATCAGAGGTTTCGTCAACCTTGGAAATTGTCGAGTAATTTAATAATTGAAATGGTGAGTGGTTTGAAAAATGTACGCCAAATGCATTTTTTGCATAATTTCATGCGCGTTGTTACGCTCTGCACGTACGGAATTTCCTGGATTCGAATACGGAAAGAAATGGTCGAGGCTTAGCCCTTGTTTTAATAATTATTTCAATAAAGAAATTTAAAACAGCTTTTTTCTATCAAAATGTTTGTTTTTATTTTTATAATCATTTAAAATTATAAAAAAATAATTTGTCATTTAAGGCAAAAATATTAGATTTAAAATAAAATAAAATAAAATGTTATTACTTCTACCTTTGATATAGTTTATTACAACCCAGCTGGGAAAATTCTTCTTGGTCCATGAAAATGAAATGAAATAAGGCGGATTAAAAATCAAAAATTTCTAAGTACACGTTTTTATTTTAAATTGAAATAAGAGATCCTAATTAAACATAAAAAAATACAAATTAACTCACAAAAGTAACAAAAAAAAATTTTTTTAATACTTTTTATTGTTACAAATTTAAACAGGAGATAGAATATTCATTTTTAAAACAAAAGTTTTCTATGAACATACAGGGTGAATATAAAGTATGGAACCAAGCGGTTTTATTTTTAATCATTTGCCTCCGGAAAATAATAATTAATATAAATTAAAGTAATATAAAAAATGTGATCGTAATTTCAGAACGAAATTTTGTTTTGTTTTTGATCTATGCGTTTTTTTTTTGTCAAAATTGCAATTTATGTGAAAAAATTTTTTTGAAAAAATTAAAAATAAAGCAGATCGTTGTAATCCTTAGAGTATAGCTTTTATGAGAAAAATTATTTTATAGTGGATTGCCATTTAAAAAAATTAATTTTTTTGTAGAACTCAAAAATAATAAAAAAATTTCGAAAAATTTTATTCTTGTTAAATCATCACATTTTTATAGTACTTTAGCACTCATCAATTAGTTTTTTCAAAAAATAAATAGTTTAAGCAAAAAACGTTTGGTTTCATACTTTTTATTCACCTGGTATATCGAAAAATGCTACGCAAGGGGTGCGTCTTTTAATAGGTTTTTTTCAATATTTCCGAAATCATTTTAGAAAAAAAAAATCAAAATTAACTTTTATACACCTAAACAAGTACAAAAATAAAATGTTGAAATTTTTAATTAGGGGCTTCCTAAACTAGATGAAATTAGGGTAAAAATTTATTCTACCTATTTTGCCTGTGGTTTCTTGCCACTTTCAGCAACAAAATTTCATAGTTTTTTATAAAAAAAAAGGTGTTTTGTGTTTTTCCGATACAAATTACGGATTTTTAGTAAAAATCGGTTTAAAAATTTATGTTACAGTCCATAAACAGCATAAAAATTAAAAATCAAATTTGTTTTACCGTTTAGGACGCCCCTGATTAAAAATTTTGTTATTTGACATTTGTTTAGGTGTACATATAAAGGTACCAAATTTTGTAATTTTATCTATTCTGAAATATTAGGAAAAACTCTTTAAAAAACGTACCTTTTTTAGGGGGTCTAACTCCCTTTCATAGCATTTTTCGAAACACTTTTGTCTTAAAATTAAATATTCTATCAAGTATTAAAATTTGTACCTAACAATAAAAATGAAACACTGTATAAATAACACATGAAAAATTAATTCACAAAAATTTAAAATTAAGTCACTAAAATAACAAAAAAACTAAATTTTCAACACTTATAACAGTATATAACAAAGTGCTCAGTATTCTGGGGGGGGGAAGGTTTGAACCCCCTAATCCCCCCCCTTGGGTACGGCCCTGTATTATTATAGTAATAATTGCAAATAATAAAATGTCTACTTTCCCTTGTCAATAACAAAGGTTTTCGTTGTTTATTCTAAATATGTATCAATAAAAAAAATCACAAGACAATTAATCCATTGATCTATTAATTCCAGATAGGAGCGCAAACAATCCACTTTAATCTATTTATAATCGTAATGTCCTGTCATCGATTCAATTCTCCTAAAATAAGGCAAAAAAACGCTTCATTCCGACCGGATAAAAATAAAATCGTTTTGTTTTGTTTTTCATCGTGCTGTTATTTATAATGAGAGCGCATTCTCTCGGTGTTAATCAAGCCGAAAAACGAGGAGAAAAAATATCGTCACCGCATTATTTATAACAGTACTCGTTTTCCGGAAGAAGTAAATTCCGCCACGACAGATGGCGTTGTCTTATTTGACACACGCCACACTAGATGTGAGGATATTCGTGCGCCACTCCGGGGCATTGTTCCACCAAAACAATAGAGTTTATTCACACGTGTGCTATCTCTATCCTAAACGAAAAGAAAAAAATATATAAACGAATCGCGACGGCATGCGTGTGAGAAAAGCCAAACATGTTACTATTATTTTGTTGTTACGGAATTGAGGAGAAAGCAAGGAAAGTCACAAGTTTTTGGGATTTTTAGCGATTTTGTGAGAGTTGAGACACCGACACTTTCGTGCGAATTTTATCTATTTACACCTGCGTGATTCATTAAAAATTATAAAATTAAATACATATTTGTTCAATTGTGTTTAAAACGCTAAATTTTATTAGCTATTTAATGAATAAACATTCATGTAAAATATTATTTGTTTATTGTAAGATAGCATTCTAAATTTAAAACATTACTCTACACAATAGGTAAGTTTTTTTTTTTGAAATGAGACAAAATAAACACGTTTTAACAACCAAAACAATAAAATTAAAAAATAATAAAAAACAACAAAACAAAAACATTCATAAAAAACACATGCATGACGTGCAAAGCTATTAATTATTATTAATTAATGTTCTTGTGATAAAATTACATAATTAGATCAGAAAAAATAAATAAAAAAGTCATAATTTCTCAGCTAAAAAATAGCACACGATTTATATTTAGTGTTTTTTATTTCAGACGTTTTCAAATGCTTTGAAGGTTCATCAAGAAACTTTCAATATCGTACAAATACTCAATTTTATTAGATATTGTCGTATCAACAAGAAATCACTCCCTAAGATTTAGGGATATTCATGAATAGGTTTCCAAAAATTTGGTTAGGTTGGTTTTTGGTGACAAACAAAAGATATCGTAACCAGTGTCAAAATTTAGGTTAAGTCACCTGTCAGCTTATATGGATAACTTTATTGATAGTTGACATCAGGTTGACAGAAAACGTCAACCGTCAACTACAAGGGGTAACCAACCCTGAGCATTCAAAATTACTTCTGAAAATTCTAGTTACAAACAACATGAAAAACATAATTTTCCTAAAAGTTCAAATCCTAGGTGGTAATTTCTTGTTGACAAATCTGTAAATTGTAACTATTAAAAAAAAAAACAAAAAATAAAAAAGTCTAAAATTTTGATCATATTACCTGCTTTTTCGACGGTTATTAATAAAAAACTGAAATATTTGACGCAAAAAAACATAACAAACAAAAAAAAAAACGTTTTCGAGTAGTTTGTAGTTTTTCAAGTTTTTTTGATTATCATTCTGTTCTGTTCTGGCGTACCCTGTATTAGGAAAAAAGACAAAAAAACTAATTTCTCAATAAAAAAATATAAATATACCATTTATATTTAGTGTCTATTATTTTAGACGTTTTCAAATGCTTTCTAGGTTCATCAAAAAACTTTCAATATCGTAAAAATACTCAATTTTATTGGATAAGTTTTGATTATTAAAAAAATCATAAAATAAAAAAAAGTCTAAAATTTTGATCATATTAACGGCGTTTTCGACTGTTATTAATAAAAATTAAAACTAAAATATTTGATGCAAAAAAAAACATAAATAAAACGTTTTCAAATACTCCAAACTTTTAAAGTTTTTTACCTCTAAATTAAACACTTGGAAAAAGCAAAAAATACCATTTTTGGTCAAATTTGTTAAATTTTCAGTTTGTTTTTAACGAAAATTTTCGAAATAATTGCGTTACAAAACATTCAAAAATTGTAAAAATATAACAAAATTTTCAACTTATTAATTTGTTGATTTTTTGGTTGTTTTAGCAAAATCTCGCAAAAACCTGAGTTTTGGTACCAATCCGATCAAATTTTGTATTTTCTGGGGTTATTTTTGCCTTAATTGTGATAAAAAAACTACTTAAACAGAGCGAAATTAAAAAATATATATATCAATTTCAATTTAATTTTGTAATTTATCAGCTTGTTTAAACAAAATTTTTCAAAAAATTTTTAGTTTGGTTTTATTTTAATTATATGGTTATAAACACTCGGAAAAAGCAAAAAACACCATTTTTGACAAAAATTGTTGAATATTCGGCTTATTTTTAACAAAATTTTACAAAGAAAATGTAGTAGAATGTTCAAAAATTGCGAAAATAATATAATTTTCGATTTATACTGTTGACTTTTTAGGTGTTTTAGCAAAATTTTACAAGAAATCTGAGATTTTAGTACAAAAACTTGCTTAAAAGCATTTTCGGGCAAATTTTGTGTTTTCTCAGCTTATTTTTGACTCAATTTTGCACAAAAGCTAGTTAAATCGAGCAAAATAAACAAAATAACATCAATTTCAATTTATTATTCTAAATATCATTAAAAAACGAAAAACGTTCAGTGTCAAAAATTAATATACTCAAAATTTTCTTGAATAAGTTTTGATTATAGGTAAAAGATATAAAAAGTGAAAAAAAACCCAAATTTTTGAATAAATTAATCGCTTTTTCGACGGTCTTTAGTAGAAAAACTTACATACATATTTAATGCAAAAACAAAAAAATATAAGTTTCTCAAAATAAAATTTTCCTGACAATCACCAAAAAAGTAATTTCTTTTCAGTATCAATTTATTTTTAGTAAAAGACAATTTCTAATCTTATTTTTCTCTGCAAAAAAAACCTAAAAAATTCTCAATTCCTGATACTGCTCGTGTCATAGGTTCAGGAAACTGTTATCATGAAACACTAAATAAAGATAAAAAAGTAAAAGCGGCCCACATACCTACATAAACCACACGTAAAAAACAATAAAGCAAGTCTTACATAAAAAAATCGCCAAAAGCAACAGCAATTAAATTGTAGGAAAGCTACACCAAAATAATTAGATACATTGTATTAAAGTTTGAGAAAATAAGTACCAACACGCAAACAAATGGTAATTAGCGACATGTGCGTTACTTCATTTGTATTTTTAACTCGTCAAAAACAATCATAATCGTCCGAACTTGACCCAGATCACTCTTTCAACCTGAACATATGTTTTTTTTTTCTACAAGGTAAAATAAAAAAAATGACTCACATCCTCGCCCTTTAAAAATCTCGTTATAATCCGTCAAATTCGTCACTTCGGCCGTTGATTCCTCCTCCGGATCGGTCCCCGAGGTGCTTTCTTCTATCGTTTTGACGTCCAGTGATCGATTTTTCAAACTGACCGGTCGTTCCGCTTTCGAAAAACTCTTCCTGATACTCTGGTTGGGCGTGAAAGGACTCGGGGGAGTTTCAGCTGAAGAACTCAAAGGATGGACTTTGTTCAAGTCGACGACGTAGACCTGGACGTTGGTCAAGTGGAAGGAAGCGCCGACCTGGAAGAAAACACGTGGTAAGACACCTACAGGTGACCTCTGGGGAATTTCCCGAGGAGGCGTGAGCATTTAGAAACTGTTTCTAGAAAATTGTTCTCTTCTCACAAAAATATTACAGAAAAAAGAAAAATTTTCGCATTATCGTATTAACAAAAATGTCCTTCAGATTTACTCAAGAAAGAAAGCGTTAATTAACACTAATAGTAACACAAACAAATCATCAACATGATTGATATTTAGAAACAGTTGTAGTTTTTAATCACAAGAAAAATGGTACCTACTTCACTAAAAATAGCTGAAATCTGGTACAAATTGCTAGAAAAACTCTACAAACCAAAAATAAAATGTCAGTGTAGAATCGTAAATCATAAAATTAACTCATTAATGTATCAGTTGTTATAATCCCAAGTGCTGTTACATTTTAATATGATTTATTGTAGTTATAATTTCCCTTCATTTCCGTTCACCTCAGCGTGTGGGTTGGATATAAAATTAAAACAAATCTTTATTCAACGAAGACTTTTATTTATGCAATGATTACAGCTCGGTTATGCACTCACTATCACTTTGAAATGCTCTCGCAATTCCCATTATGATGAATCGCCGTTTAACATACGAGTTAATAAATTTGACATCAAAAACCAAGTAAGAATACAATTATAATTTTTTGACCTCGACAACTAAGATCCTAACAGAAAGTAAGTTTTTCCACCCTAATTTTAGAAGGGAAAGTGGGAACTAAAAATTTTACTTCCCTTATCTGTCAAAATTACTAACCTCTCAGCAAAATAAAAATGTTATTATATTAAAAGAAATTGTTAGTTTTGAAGATTTTCTTGTTGAATCGTAGGAAAAATTATACAGGGTGAATATAAAGTATGGAACCAAGTGTTTTTTTTAATCATTTGTCTCCAGAAAATAGTAATTAATATAAAATTAAAGTAATATAAAAAATCGTATTTTGAGAAAATTGCAATTTATGTAACTTTTTTTTTAAAACATTAAATATAAAGTAGATAGTTGTAATCCTTAGATCATAACCTTCATAAGAAAAATAGAAAAATAGTGGGTTGCCATTTAAAAAAAATAAAAATTTTGTAGAACTTAAAAACAGAAAATTTCGAAATATTTTATTCTTGATAAAACATCACATTTTTATAGTACTTTATCATCCATCAATTAGTTTTTCCAAAAAATAAATGGTTTAAGCAAAAAATGTTTGGTTCCATATTTTTTATTTTCCTGGTATAAGTTTTAGAAGCTTGGGAAAGATTTCTGTTCAATGTTATTTGTGGCTTTTATTGGCAAAATTTTTGTACCTTTACTAAATAATTGTAAAAAACATATACAAGATCATCAGTATCATTATTTAAATAGACATAAAAAAATGTCAAATGTCAAAAAATAAATGTCAAAATTTTTTGACACAGAATTTTTTAAACATTTTTTTATGTTCCCGGTATCTTTCTTACCTTACTTGAAAATTTTTTTTGTGGCGCGAGTTCTGGCGCACCTATTTTTTTTTTTTCAGATAATAAAAAAATGATTTTCTATCAAACGACACAAATTTTTAAACTAAAATAAAATTTTTTACTGCTTTTTTTTGAGAAAATGCAGCGAAAAGTGATACAAAAAATTATACTTTACCAAACTTTATTATGAGAATGTTTTTTTATTAGATTGGTTCCATACTTTTTATTCACCTGGTATGTATTACACTGGAGGAAAGTGTCTTTTCCTCCCTAGATGGTTACTGCCCTTGTAATACAAATAACTATTACACATTTTTGACAGTTACGGTTTCTCTTGTTGTCAAGTTTACCGCGAAAAATAACACAAAATTTTTAGACTTTCAGAGATCACAAAAAAGAGAAAATACGGTATTCATTTATCTATTCAATGTTCAAAAATAAACATATTTTTTTAGTAAAATTTTGTTCAACACCATCTTGCGGTGAAAATAGTAAATGCATAGACCTGTCATATCTTTAATCAGATTTGGTAAAGCACTCAGCTTCGCTTCGTGCTTCACGATACATAAAATTAAAACTTCACGATAATAGCGGCCTTCATAAAATAACAAAGTGTTAAATACAAATGAATGAAACTCATTAGACTAGCTCAACTTTATTTGGACAGAACATTCCTTTGCGACTAAGATGGCTAGCGTTTCCTCAATTGTTATCAAAAATGTCCTCGATGAGTCACAATAGCATTTTTTTTCAAAAATTAATCTTTATTAATTTATCAAATTAAATCAGCAATGTCACCTTGATAATTAAAACAAAAACACAAATTTATTTCAATGTTAAATTAGCATGGAAGATTTTATCAAGATCAAGAGATATAATTTAGTTAAGTTTATACTAATTGAAACAAAATACTTGAATTTTACAAAAGTGGATCGATTCAATGAAATAAATCACGATACTAATCTCTTTCAATGCGAATTTAGGTTGCCTTATAAACCAATAGACTGTAAACGGAATGTTATACAATTGTTATGGTAATTACATTTATGACATGCAACGGGTCAGGATGTTGCTAATTCGACCTCTACTACGAAAAAAATCTGGACAAAATCCAAGAAAATTAACGCATGAATTAAATATGAGACTGGAACCGGGTCATAACCCCTTTTCGACTCGAAAATTTCAATCAACAACAATGATAATTAAAACACCTGATGAAAAATTTATTTTTTTGAAGATGTGAACATTTATAGTCGTGTCAGGTTTCTTGAAATATTCATGTGCAAGCGTGGGTTTAAAAAATTTGCATAGAAATATTTAATATGGGAAAAATATGCCACAAACAAAAATCGACACTCTTAGAGTGACATTAATACATAATAATAAAATATCATTAAAGTGCAATAAAACGTTACAGTTTTGCATATTTTACTACCCAAGAAATCCTCACCAATCTTAGAAAACCACCGGAAATTCTAAAGACTCTTTGTCTCATTAATTAAATTCACTTAAAACATTTAATTTCTTTAATTTAAAGTGAAAAAAATCAATTCTAAAAAGCAACTGTTTATTTTACTCTTAATTATTTATAAACAAACTACAACTTTGTAAACTGTTCTCTAGTATAAAAAACCGAATATTTTTGCATTTTAAAACATTAGAAGTAATTGTATTTAGTTTTTGAGGATTTTTCTTGTCATAAACTCGTGACATGACATTTCCAAACCCTTCCGGTGACTCTACAAAATCTCCCCCAATTTTCGTTTTTTGACCTCACATAACCTCTCCATCGATCGTGCACTCTTCATTCTTCCTTTCATGAAGATAATTACTTTCGTTTTCAACAAATCGTCCAATTTTCACGTCGTTCACCTTTAGTGTTTATTTCGAGCAGCATGACTTTTTCCTGATCTATTCATTGTCTTTACAAAAAAAAAAGTGATAACTTTTAAAAACAACTTTCTCGATGATTTTCTCGACCGGTTCTTCATTTTCTAAATCCTTCGAAAATATATTAGAAATCACGCGCGATTTGTGATAATCAGAAAAAATCACAATCGCGGTCTTGACCGACTTTTCCAATTGTGTTAAAACAAAGTCTCGACGAAATTTCTTAATTTTTTGATTGAAAAATGACAAAATACAGAAGCTGTCGTCTGTGATAAAAGTTTTTATTAATTTTTCAGACAATTTAGAAATTTCTAATATTCTTAAAAAAATAATTATTATTATAGTGCAAGATTAGTCATTTGTGAACTTGGCCGCGTTGACTGACACAAACGACAAAATCCTGTTGTGTGCGTCATTATTTGTACTAGAAACTGTTACACTGTAGTCAAAAAAATTGTTAATTAATAATATTATTTGCATGAAGATAATTAAGAAGCTGGAAGAGATTTCGAGGACGTGAGTTTGTTAGCTTAGATTACAAATTTCCTGCTTTAGAAAATGGATACGGCATAATTCTGCAATGCTAATGTTTTGAAATAAATATTGAATTAGTATGACGTGAAACGACATTTTTACAACAAAAAGAAGTCGAGGCGAAATAACAATTTAAAACAAAAAAGAACAAAGCAACATTAGTGATTACTAAAGACCCGGTAGGTCGTCCATAAAACAGTAAATACCACTGTTTGTCTACCGTTATGATTACTCAGTCCCAACTCATTCAAATTACCAATTTGTAAGAAAAACAAAACCATCAAATTCAAACTCAATTAACGACGCACACAATCGAAAAAAATCCCCATAAATAGAGCAAAACAACGCGCCCCCATCAAACTCATTATCTATCCTTAAATAGCCAAACCATTAACACACACGGACGGATATGGAAATGTTTAAAGTCATGCAAAACAACGTTGCCAGCTCCAAAAAAAAATTACCAGATCAGAGTTGAAAAGTTTCAATTTTCACCAGATTGAACATTACAATAAAATAAAAATTGAAGCCCAAGAATTAAGTACAAATTT